AGGATTATAACTGCTTTGCCTAGAATAACTAGTAGATGTCCAAGACAGCCGATGCGATAATTTTTTTCATCAGGAGCAAGCATTTTTATTATAATTTAAATAGTCCTGCCTACCCTAGCATACAAAGAAAGAATATGATTATGTAACAAATGAGCAGGGAGAGCTGGTTTTTGCAGTTTTAAATTAACTCCTGACTTTTTTCTTTGAGAAGATCTGCGTCTTGAAGATTAACTAAATAGCTTATCAAGTTGGATGTTACAGAGAATCCTTAAAGTTATGAATTTTATGAGCAAACTAGCGATTTTAAGGATGAACTGGAGAAGTTGGAAACGAGTGGTGGATCTCGAAAAGCGGAGCTAAATACGCTGCATTTTTGTATAAAACTTGCACTTCTCCTCATTCAGAATGAAAATCAGTCCTTGATTACTGCTGAATCAAGCCGATGCGAATCATTTATGTTAAATATTCTAAAACATCTACCCACTAATTTTGACGAATTAACCGGAAAACTTTATTAGCACGTACGTGTATTCGCCAAAATCGTACACTTCATCGAGCGCAATTCTGCGAGTTTTGTCATGAGTGACGCAGCCACGAATTTCAACCCTGAGATATGGGCCATCAGCTTTACATTCAAACCAGTACATGTGCTGAAACATTTATAATTACTGGCATGATAAGTCTACATCTCTGTTTGATGACCCAAACATCGTCTTTGCAGTTAGCACTAAGCTTTGTTTCACTTTTACAGTAATATTTTACCGTATTTTGGCATACTGGAGAAAATTTGGCCGGAAAAATTGTTGATTACTGATTTATTAGCAGCCGAACGGACCTCAGAATCACCATTAGGCTGACCAACGTCCAGAGCACTATTGGTAAAAGCAACTTGAAAAATTGCTATCTACGCAGCTGGAGAATAAAGCTACGAACAGTAACTGATAAAAGTGTCATAGAAAGTACGAGAAAAAATTATGCCAGTTTGATTTGTAACAATTTATGGAACAAGTTCTTTGCAAGGCCAAGATTTGAGATAATTATCAGGGCAATGCGCTATCAGCCAGGTCTGAGTCTTTTATTCCTGTTACCTCTTAAGGTAACAGGAATAAAAGGCTCAGACCTGGCCGATACGGCTTAATGTTGGGATCCAAATTACATATAAAAATAGCGAAGCTTTTAGACGGATTAGGGAAATATAAACGCTGGTTTTCAAGCTTTTCAAAACAATGCTCAGATGGAGAGGGCTGGAGGGAAGTGGGGAGGGGAGAGGGAGTGAGGTGAAGATGAACGAAAAATGTTTAGTTCGTTGCTCAAAACTGCCATGAAGGCCATAATTTCCGCACCATCAGTCTACGTATTCAGTGTTAGTAAAATTATTGCAACCGCCAAAATATACATTATAACTTAGTTTCGGGTGCGGTAAAAATCGGGAGTGTGACGTAGAAACTTTTAATAAAATATTTAGCTACATCTTGCTGCCAGAAGAAGAAAGACCCAGGCTGGAACGCGCCAGGCTCTCCGGTGCGATCATGCGTTTTTGCACTAAACTCGTTGATCGCTATTAGCTGGAATGGTCTCTACGCTGTAGCCTAACACTTGTATCATATTGGCGTGCTTTGATCCTTTCCGGTATGCAGGAGGAAGGGCGTCAGTTGGGATGGAGATGGTGCATTATAGAGCCGCACGGACATCCAAGTACACGACTACTGATTTTTTGCATAAAGCCCGGTCGTTTTTTCGGTAAATGCTCGCTTTGTGGAAAAATGACAAATGCAAATTTTTTGAAAAAAAAAGCAGATTTCCAGTTCATGAAAATTGGAAGTGTTGCTCGAAAGGTCGTTTTTCAAAAAATCTATGTTCATTTGCATACAAGATTGCGGTTCAGG